GGTACGCGGGCCTCTCACTGTTGTGGCCTCTCCCGCTGTGGAGCACAGGCTCCGGATGCTCAGGCCCACCCGCTCCGCGGCATGCGGGATCCTCCCGGACCGGGGCACGAACCCTCGTCCCCTGCATCGGCAGGTGGACTCTCAACCACTGCGCCACCAGGGAAGCCCTCTCCCTCTCTTTTTAAAACCTTTGCTTTCTTATTCATTCTGCCTTAGAAAAACAAGATATACTTCATTTTCTATTCTAGTTGAGTTTTATTTATGGTTACCCTAGAAATTAAACATATGAATTAGAAAATAGTTTTATAAAATTATTTACTTCATTGATCTCCTATCATACTCTATATCTCTTATTAGTAATACTTCCTCCTTGAAATAACAAACAAAACTTTTAGGTGTACCTAAGACTAAAATACCACATAATTTCAATCTAGTACCTGAAGCTCAGTTATTTCTATTCTTAAGATCTATTACTTCTTCTTAGTTTCTATGGAATTAATGTCTGAACTCAGGAAGTAGAGATAAAAACATAACCATTTTTAAAGAATCATTACCAGCATAATTAGAAACAACTCTACATTTAAAATAATAATCTGAATTATCTTTCTAAAATATTACCCCTTACAGTTAAGCTTTTATATTTTATTTTTTATAGATTTATTTATTTATTTATTTTTTGGCTGCATTGGGTCTTCGTTGCTGTGTGCGGGGTTTCTCAAGTTGCGGCGAGCAGGGGCTACTCTTCATCGACGTAGGCAGGCTTCTCATTGCGGTGGCTTCTCTTGTTGTGGAGCACAGGCACGCGGGCTTCAGTAGTTGTGGCTTGCGGGCTCTAGAGCGCAGGCTCAGTAGTTGTGGCTCACGGGCTTAGTTGCTCTGCGGCATGTGGGATCTTCTGGGACCAGGGATTGAACCCATATCCCTTGCATTGGTAGGCAGATTCTTAACCACTGCACCACCAGGAAAGTCCCCAATTAAGCTTTTTAATTTAAGATATTATGTTATGTTAATTTACGATATTGTGTTAGTTTCAGGTGTACAGCAAAGTGATTTAGTTGTGTGTGTGTGTGTATATATATATATATGTATATATATATATATATATATATACATATATATATATTCTTTTTCAGCTTCTTTTCCATTATAGGTTATGACAAGATACTGAATATAGTTCCCTGTGCTATACAGTAGGTCCTTGCTGTTTATCTATTTTACATAGAGTAGTGTGTATCTGTTAATCCCAGTCTTCTAATTTATCCTCCCCTTTCCCCTTTGATACCCATAAGTTTGTTTTCAATGTCTGTGAGTCTATTTCTCTTTTATAAGTAAGTTCACTTGTATCATTTTTTTAGATTCCACACATAAGTGATATCATATGATATTTGTCTTTGTCTGACTTACTTCATTTAGTATGATAATTTCTAGGTCCATTCATGTTGCTACAGATGGCATTATCTCATTCTTTTTTATGGCTGAGTAGTACTCCATTGTATATATGTACCATATCTTCTTTATCCATTCATGTGTCGATGGACATTTAGGTTGCTTCCATATCTTGGCTACTGTAAATAGTGCTGCTATGAACATTGGGATGAATGTATCTTTTTGAATTAGAGTTTTCATCTTTTCTGGAGTTTTCAGGAGTGGGAGTGCAGGATCATATGGTAACTCTATTTTCAGCTTTTTAAGGAACCTCCTTACTGTTCTCTATAATGGTTGTACCAATTTACGTTCCTGCCAACAGTGTAGGAGGGTTCCCTTTTCTCCACATCCTCTTACAATTAAGCTTTAACTTTTATTTTCCTTTAAGTAGCTAAGCCTAAAGATATTGTAGAATATGGGGGTGAAGAGAAGAAGAATCTCATCATTTTTTTACGTAGAGATTTTTTCATTATGTCAAGAATGTGCTGGCATTGCTATCACTGTTATTGTCCTGTCCCTCCCTCTTTTCCTTTCATCTTCCTGCCTCAATTTCTTCTGTCTTCATTTTTTTCTTATGCCCTCCTGCACTGCCTCCTGCTATCCTTCTTTTCTTCAATTTTATTTGCTCTCCTGATCTATTAATTGAGGTCAGAAGACCAGAAATGATGGCAGCTAAGCTAAGTTTGTTTGGATTATTTGCTGTTGTTTCAAGTCCAAAAAATACTTCTGATGATCTAATCCAGTGTCTTCCAACTGTGCACCCAGGGTCCCCAGGTTCCTTCCTTATCTCCACCCTTACATCAATCAGAGAAGTTCCTCTTTTATCTTTTTATCTTACCTCTAGAGTGAAGTTTAGGGTTCATTTTTTCAAGGGGTTCTGTGACTGTGTTTTTAGGTTGATATTATCTATCTATCTAAATGTTCTAACATTCATCCACTGTGATTCTAATAGCTGTCAGAGTCCTAGAAGTGATTTTAAAAGAATGTCTTGTTTCCCAAATTAGCAGTGAAGTTGTTTCTAACTAAGTTAGTGCACCCAGTTGTGGTTAATAAAATAAAGTAAAAATGCTGTCATCAGGCTGGGGGCAAGCTCCTGGAAGAGGAGAGCCAAAGTTGGCATGCACACAGCTGCCTTCCCTGCCAGTGTTAAAGCATCGTGGCATTATTTTGCTGTAAGTCGAACCCAGAGTCCATATGAACCCAGAGGGACATCAGAGGCGCTAAGCCTGACCCCCAAAATAAAAGCTATCATCTCTGCTCTAGATAAAGTGGCCAGAATTTCAGATTCTTTTCAGCTGAGAATAACTATCTACTCCCCCCACCTAATACTGTATATAAAAATCCTTTAAAAAGCATTTAAATTGTGTTCCATAATACTCCTTTTTTAGTATAAAAAGGTTTTTTTTAATGGATAGCTCTAAATGCTAAATTTTATATCTAGCCCTGACTCTCACTTTGGTTGTATGACCTTCATCAAGTCTCCTTAACCTCTTTGTGCCTTAGATAGCTCATCTGGAAAATGAAGCACTGAGATCCATTAGATCCTAGATCCAGATCATAGATGGGATCCTTTTCAAGTCTGAAGATCTAGAATGCTATGATTTATATCTTATTGTATCATATGCTTCTGTTTTTCAAATTTAAAAAATAATCATATATTAATGGTGATTTATATTGGGGGTAATAAGTAATGTTAAAACAATTGTGGTAAATAACTTCGTTTTTTGTTGATTCAAAAAGAAAACGATGCTTGGAAATATTATGCTACCCACTGTGAGCCTGGCTGGAATCCCCACAATCGTAATTGCTATAAACTTCAGAAAGAAAAAAAGACCTGGAATGAAGCTTTGCATTCTTGCCAGTCCAATAACAGTGCATTAATAGACATAGATTCGTTAGCAGAAGTGGAGTTTCTTGTAACCTTCCTTGGAGATGGTGAGTGCCAAGTGTCTTTGGTTTAAGAAGTATGAAATTAATGTAGCAACTCTCTTTATTAGTGAAGTTGAAAAGAAATTAAGCTGTTTAAAATTGATTCTTTATGGCACATGTATCTGAAATTTCCAAATAATATCCAGGAGTGAAAATTCACTGAATTTTTACAAAATACATATTCAGAAACTTTGTAACATCTCATAGATGCCAGATATATTACATGTTTTCATTTTGGGTTTTTTTTTTTAAGGGGGAAAGGTCATTTCCTGAAATTTCTAATTTAAAAAACCTGAACCTGTAATTTAGCACAATGAGCACTAGATAGCAGTAATGTGCTGTGGCCATGTAATCCAAGCAATAAAGAAAATTCCTTACAAAAATGATTATATTAAAATAACTTTAGCCAGTGAAAATGGATAATTTATTTGGTGTGGTGTTTTTCAAGATGTGTAGCATGCTCAGGGGTTCCGAGCTCTGAGGCCTCCACCCAGCTTTACCCACCAGAGCAGATCTGCCCCTACCTATGTCATATATGGACATAGAATTCTGCTGGAAAACATTGAAATCATTGACTGAGAGTAAATCTTTTTTTAGTGGAAAAATCCGGCGTCTACTCTATTTCAATGTTAGGTTTTAGTTTGGAGTGAAAACAAAACTCCTTCTGTCATTGTTCCTCACCCTTCGCATTTGGGATTGAAAGAATCCTGTGGCTGCCTCTGGGTCAGCGGGGCACTGGAACACTCTCCCAGCCATCGAGGGTCTTTTCTCCCTGCCTAGACTGGCAAGCTTTATTTTATTTACTTTTTCAGCAACCCCACTGCTCCTATTCAATGTTTCTAAGAATTTCTGCTCCTTTTTTTTCCCTAGCCAAAAGAAAAAAAGTAAAGCTAGACATCATTTAAAGGTTTTTTTCTAAGTGCCTTTTCTTAATTCGATTGACCTTCCTATTTTTCCTTTTTTGTGGTAGAAGAAAAACCAGACTTTTCAGATCTACTTTCCATAGTGTAGCACGAACTAACTAGAGTCCTGGCAATCTGACTTGCTTAAGCTTTGTCCTTGCCCTGGCTTTCACTGACACTCTGACTCACTTATAAGGCCTATATTGAGTAGATCTGGATAGATTAATGGGGGAAGGGTTTAAGCAGGTATTTTATACCAAAACTTAAACAGGTTTCATTCCAAGAAGAAACAAAGAAGGAATCACATGCAAAGTGGTATATATTGGTAATAGCCCCTCTGTGTTATCACCTTTGCAGATACTAGAATTCTTGTAAGTAATTTACGTTTATCTCTTGCAGAAAATGCATCAGAAACATGGATTGGTTTGAGCAGCAATAAAATTCCAGTTTCCTTTGAATGGTCTGATGGCTCCTCAGTCATCTTTACTAATTGGCACACACTTGAGCCCCATATTTTTACAAATAGAAGCCAGCTATGTGTCTCAGCGGAGCAATCTGTAAGTTGATTCATCTGTTCAATGCTCACTTTGCTGGACTTGTACAGAGGGCCACCTGTGCCAGGGACTTGGGCTGTGGCAGAGACCAAGACAGGCACAGTGCCTGCTCCTCCTGGGGCTTCCACGCTAAGCAGTAAAACATATACACACTAAAAACACATGGTAATTATAGTTGTGATAATAGCTCTGAGGACATAGGTGCAAGATGGTGAGAAACTTGGGTTGGGACAGCTACTTCAGACAAGACAGTCAAGGAGGGCTCTCTGAAGAGGTGACATTTAAGCTGGGACTTGAACAACAAAAAAAATCTCTTGAAGAGCAGGAGAACATTCGAGGCAGGGGGCAGCAGCCCAAAGGCAGGCCAAGGCTTGCCATGTTTGATAATCAAAAAGGAGACCAGGATGGTGTGGAGGTATGGACGGTGAAAGGTGGTAGGAGATGGGGCAGGAAGAATGCAAAAATGTGAGGCTTATAGGCCTGGGATAGGACCCACTAAAGGGCTTCAAGTAGATGAAAGCATGATCTGATTTACATTTTAAGAGCAACTGTAGCTGCTACATAGAGAATTGATTGGAGAGAAGAGAGTGAAAGCAGAGAAACCAGTTTGGAGGCTACTCCTGTGGTTGAATTAGAGTAGTGAATATGGAGACAAGAAGACAGATTCAAGGATCCTCTAGAAGACAGGAATTGTTGCTAAAGCAGACGTGGGGGTGAGAGACAGGTAGGTTTTTGGTTTGAGCACCCACCATTTTGGTGGGTGAGGGTGCCACTGACCACCCTGGTGAAGATGAGGGGAAGAACCAAGGAGTTCGGAAATTACTCTGGAAGGTGATGGTTTTTAAGCTCCATTATCTTCTTAACATAAAAGGATTTCAACACTGCATGTAACCTCTTTGAAAACTGCAAATCAATGGAAAACCTTGCTGTTTTCTTCACATGAATGTGATGGTCCCAGTGACCTTAACATTACACTTACCTTTATGTGCTAGTCTCTCATTTACCTAAAACCTCTGATTATACAGAATTTGTTTAATCCCAAGCCATTTGAAGGGTTTTTTTTATATGTTTTGAATAGACAATCTCTTTGATCAGATAGCTACTGAACTCACTGGTGAAGTTTTAGGAGGTTATTGGGATTTGGTAGGCATGCTTACTCTTTTAAGACACCGGGATACCATATCAAGTTCCCCCAAGAAGCAGTTTATTAAATGTTACTTAAGTAGCTTGACAAAGTGATTGTGCCAGCCAAACATGGGAAATGTCTGAGCACTTACTTTTTTTTAAGCACTTACTTTTATGACACATTTCATTGTTTTATCTTTCAAGGCTGCCACAAATCCATGCAGTTACAATGATAGTGTCTCAGAGTCACACTTGAGGGGGAACAATGACCTCTCCAAATGTTTGTTTTGGGTGTTACTCTGCTGAAAACCACTATAGTTTATTCTACAGTATTTGATGCTTTATTGGTTCATTAGTTTTGATATAATTAAGGTGATCTTAGTTTCCTATTGACATTCTCCTTTTTTATTTGACAGACATGGGTATTTCACTTAGCATATTCACAAAGCAGGAGCCAACATTTGGACAGACAAGTTGTTTTTAAGAGAGTGAGGATAGGTATTAATATTATTGGATGTGTTAGAACAATGCTGCTGTAAATGTGGTATTTTGTGGCCCCTTTTTAGCAGCTCAGTAGCTCCTTAAACAGTAGATGCATAAAAAATAACACTTATTCCCCTAAAGTTGAACTCAATATGAATGTAATTATTATAATTAACTAGTTACCTAAACATGGTCGATACCTCAATTTGAATCTGAGAGGTTGGTAACCATTCATCTGTCCATCCAATGGTTACTAAGCAACTACAGTGTGCCTGACAATATCCTATAACTGGATGGTTTGCTGGAGACTCCATGGGGATGGGCTACAAGGCTGCTCTTACAGGTGAAGGTGTCAGCCTCCTACATAGTATGTTTCTGAGGGTCATGGAAGAGCTCTCTACTCACCTAAAACCCTGCATGCCTGAGATACCTAAATTTTGAATTTGAATTGTGTGAAAATTTAAATTGTGTGGTTTTAGCCTAAAGGTCTGGTTTGTGTTAAAATAAAAAATCCTTTGGGAGGATAAAATTTTAATCAGTTAGCAGTTATTGTATTTCATCATCAATGAAGGATATGAGAACAGCCTTCATTAGAACTAGGAGAAGACATGAAGGTATCTGCCCGTCATATAAAGAGGAAATGGAGTGGGGCTTTGGAGAATTTGTGATGAATAAGGGTACTGGGGGTTGAACATGAAGTTCAGCTATGATGATGTTATCTCGGGTAATTCACGGTGCTTTCCAGGCATTTCCCCAGCATCAGGATTATACAGCATCAGGTAAGCAGCGAAGCATTCAATTGAGCACCTAGAAGTGATGGGAGAGAAGAAGCAGCATTCTCACTTGGTCAGGGGAATAGTTTCATATAAGTGGTTCTCGAAGTGTGGCCCCCAGACCAGCAGCATTCACATCAGCTAAAAACTTGTTAGAAGTACAAATTCTCAGGTCCCACCTGACTTACTGAATGAGACACACGGATCCCAATCAACTGTGTTTTAGTAACCCCTCCAGGTGATTCCAGTGCACACAAAAGATTGAGAATCACTACTTATCCCATCTTTAACAAAATATTGAGAGCAGTTTAATGTAAAGCCAGACCTCCCACTCGTATGTAGAGAATCAACCTTTTCTAACACAAGATCCTGACACATTACGCCCCCTTGAAACATGCATTATTAATCATATTTTAATTCAGAATTATTGACTTTGACTATCAGCATCAATAATGGAGTGTATTCATTCATCTTGTAATATTTTTCCTCTTAGGAGGGACACTGGAAAGTTAAAAATTGCAAAGAAACACTTTTTTACGTTTGTAAGAAAACAGGCCGTGTCCTTTCCGACACTGAATCAGGTTGCCAAAAGGTAAGAGCTGTGAACACTGCAGGGACTTCATAACCAGACTGATTTATCCACCATCAAATTAAAGTGAATCTCTCTCCCTCTCTTTCCTGCCTTGGCTTCCTCCTCTCTCTCTTTCCCCTCCTTCCCTTCCTTTCTTCTTTCCTTCCCTTCTTTTTTTTCTGAGTGGGCTATTGTAACAAACCAAACAATTATCAGCTAGGGGCACATGAAAGATTTACAGCTCTCGGAAGGATTGTTGTCTTACCATCTATTTCCACCCAAGACTAGTTTTCTTTTGAGATAAGAAATGTAAATGATCCTGTTATACCATCTGTATAAACAATGTCTATCATGTGATACACTGTCTCACACGCGGTTTTCATTGTCTTCCAATGAAGACTGTCAGAGTGAAAGCAAATGCATTCCTTTGAGTCAGAGAGTGACCTTCTGCACCCAGTCTTGTCTTCCTTTTCACTTTTCTTAAAGTTGAATATTAGAATAAAGTACAATAACAAAGAGAAGTGCATGTTTGCAACACATTTATTATTTAGGAAAGGGATAATAAAAATACTTTGTATTTTAAGTAATAAACTATTTTTGGTACTTAAAGTACTATTTTCAGTACTAAAAATAATAAAAAACATACTTTAGGTTTAAACTTTAAAGGTAGAAAATAATCTGTCTTAAATTTCTTAAAATACATTCAATATTCTGCAGTGTTACAAAAAATTTATCTACCAGTGTCCTTAGCACATTCCCTCTCTCTCATCACACACACACACGCACACAAACACACGCACACACACACACACACACACACACCTAAAAATTTTGGATTTAACTATTGGAGATTTTTATGCTGTGTGAATCTCAAAATGTTCACAAATCTGGTTTTTATGCAATTCTCTTTTAATTATTTTCTCTTCTAATCCAGTTACTTATGTTCCAATTAAACGATAACCCCTCTCTTCAGAAACTGCATTTGATTCATTCATCAATGTGTAAGCATATTACTCTTCACACTTTAGCTGAACAATACATGTGCCATAGCTGACATGTGACCAGACGTTTTACCTAATGATTACATTTCCTGAATTAGTTATTACTGATCACTTATCTAATCTCTATCTGATCAGAAATATTGAAAAAAATCCGTCCTACAGTGGCTTTCAAGGCAGCACAACATGTTTTATTTGTGTCGAAAGAGTAATTAACTTCTTACACAGCAGAAACAACTGATGTTCTATCTAAACTTTTGTATACTGCTCCCCTCTTTCTGACCAGCCTTATCAATATTTAAGGATTCTGGGTTCAGAGCCAGTTCTTTACTCTTGTGGCGAAATTCCATTAATTTCTTTATGCATCTATGAATATGGTTTCGAAAGTTTCCTTTCTTTTAGCCATCTGCTTCAGTGCAATTCTCTAAACAGTCTGCACATGCAAAACCAACTTATAAAATAAGTCTGGATAATTTCAAAGCAGAAATTTTTAAAAATTTTATTTCCATCTGAGTCACTTTTGGGGGACTAGATAATATGAGCAATCGTTTCAGTACTGTCACCATCATGATTTCATGGCACCTCATGTACAAAGGATATTCACAAATACAATCAATTATTCTTCCCGCTTTCATTGTGCGGACAAAGTCTTATAGTAGAGTCTTTGTTTTCCGGTTCTTACTATGCCACATTTCCCCCCCTTTCCTTGAGCCTGTTCAAGTTCTTGGGTTTTTTGTTTTGCTAAGCAGCCTATGATCTAAAAACCACTAATGAAGAAGGAGTACTTTGTCAGAAAGGTCAAATTGTCAGCCTTCCTCCTCCTGTCCTTCCAAATACAAAAGCAGTCTAACCCCCTGCCCCCTCTGGAGTGACCCACGGAGGGGTTCTGGCTGACACTGTCAATTACTCACACAGATAAGGTTGGGGAGAGAAGTTAAGGGAGTGAATTCAGAGCACATCCTGGCGGGCTGGATGTGGTGCTCCTGTGATCCACGCCTCATTTAATAATGTTTTGAACTAAAAATAGCTTATTTCTAAAATAAGATTTTTCTCTAATTTACTGCAAGGTTGAGACATTTTCTGAGTAGTATAGCAGAAATCATTTTATATCTGATCAAAATCTGGCAAGTATTGGCATGACACAAAATGAAGTGTATTTTAAAACTGGTGAATACATAAAAATAGACTGATAGAAGTGATATGATTTTATAATATTGGAAGAGAAAGAACTAAAATAACTAAGTTGAAATATAGAAGACTAATGAACCCATGTCTCCTGTACCGTATGATTTTAAAGAATAGAGCCACCCTTCTTTGCTCCCAGGGCTTAGCCATACACGTTTGTCATTTTTTGTCAGGTGCCAAAGCTTGTTTGCTTTCTCTCTAAAAGGTTAGCCAGTTGACTAAGGAATATATATATATATATATATATATATATATATATATATATATATATATATTTTAGAAATATCACTGATGAATATAGATGCAAAAATCCTCAACAAAATACTAGCAAACAGAATCCAACAACATATTAAAAGGATCATACACCATGACCAAGTGGGATTTATCCCAGGGATGCAACGATTCTTCAGTATACACAAATCAATCACTGTGGTATATATATATATTTTAGCAAATTTCTATTTGGAAGCTGGACGATCCAGATGAAACCATTCTGGATTGCACCAAAATTAGGTTCCAGGCCAGTTTATCCACTAGTCTCTGACTTACATTATCTAAGTCCCTAATCTCAGTGGGACAACATGAAATAAGCAGTATGAAAGACCCTTAAAAAACAACAACAAAAAAAAAACCAGTACAGTGTTATCTAGACACTTATGTCCTCTTTGCTCATACCGAGTTCCTGGCTCTATTCTGGGGTCTCTGCCTGCATTTTCTCCCCTTGATTCTCAGAACAACCCCATGAATACTATTATTATCCATATTTACAGAGGAGAAAACTAAGACACATAGAGATTAAATAAGGTCACGTGATGGTGGAGCCAGGATTCCAACCCATGCATTCTGTCCTTAAAGCCAACATGTTCAATTTTTACCATCCCATAGGAACCATTTACAGTAAATCTTATAAGTCTGAACAGAGAGAGAGAGAAGGAGAGAAGGAGAGAGAGAGAGAGAGAGAGAGAGAGAGAGAGAGAGAGAGAGTGTGTGTGTGTGTGTGTGTGAGAGAGAGAGAGAGAAAGAGGAAAGGAGAGAAGGAGAGATCTTGAGTGAATGTCCCTTTTCTTTAATTTGCTTTTAAGGTTTTGAGCTTAAAGATTTTAAATTAGTTAAAACATTTAGGTTTTAAGAACTAATTAAATAAATGTAGAAGTGGCTGTAGCTAATGGCAGGTAGAATAAGTATAAATATATCAAGACAAACATTCAAGTTTTGAGTTTTGAGTGGGTCAGAGAAGAAACTGGTAAATGAGAATACACCAAAAAAATATATTTTACTATTTAACTAAATCAGATTGTGTCCTTAATTTTCATTTTCCTTGTTTAAGGGATGGGAGAGACATGGTGGATTCTGTTACAAAATTGACACTGTCCTTCGAAGCTTTGACCATGCCTCCAGTGGTTACTACTGTCCTCCTGCACTTGTAACCATTACAAACAGGTAAAATAGAAATTTTCTATCAGAAACATGCAGTGCTTTTTTGCCGTGAGGGTTCTTGGAATGATAAAATCTAGCCACAATCAGTAACTAGTGAAAATCTAAAGTGTACTGTACAACAGAGTATTAAGTTATTTAAATTATTGATTTAGATGAATTTAAACCATACAATGTTATTTTTTTTTTTTTTTTTTTTTTTTGCGGTACGCGGGCCTCTCACTGTTGTGGCCTCTCCCGTTGCGGAGCACAGGCTCCGGACGCGCAGGCTCAGCGGCCATGGCTCACGGGCCCAGCCGCTCCGCGGCATGTGGGATCTTCCCAGACCGGGGCACGAACCTGTGTCCCCTGCTTCGGCAGGCGGACTCTCAACCACTGCGCCACCAGGGAAGCCCCTATAATGTTAATTTTAAATTGATTTTTGAGTAACAAATAGTAAATTACAATTTTCAGTTGTAATGATATTTTATCTAAGTGCTTGTAATAGAAAAGAAATATGTTATTTAAATATGAAGTGTTTTTTAAATGTAATGTGTATGAGTCATGTGGAGTTTTTTTAGAACAAAAGTAAGTAAAACTAAACTGTGGAGGATTTTCAAATGCTTCCCCATTGCTTCTTAGGTCTACGTTTGTTTAGATTTAGATTTCTCTATGCCCAGGTATCTTTACCACACAAACAGAGAAACTGTGCCCTTTTGACACTCCGTACAATTTGCAACATGTTACAGATGTGTAGCAAGGGATAAAAGTACCAACATCAGAAGAGACCTCAGTGTCACTATCAATGCCAGGAGGACAGTGAGAGCTGGGAGACAGACTCCTCCAGGCTGAAGACAGAATCAAGGTAGAACTCTTCAGTGGTTCCATGGAAAATTATACCCACAAAGCAAGGCACTTACTTTCTTACCGAAGTCATTGCCTTTAAAAACATCTGTTGAAGACCAGGAATCAGGACAACTGGTGCTATGGTTTTATCTAGAGACCCCTTCACATGCAGGTCTAACCTGTAGGAGGAATTCTGTGTGCTTTCTCTGCTCTCCCCACATGGGAAGTCAACGTTCAAAGCCGCCAGTGTTTCCTTCCTCCTCTTACCTCTTACCTTCTGTCCCAGTCTTTCCTCCAAACAATGCACAGGAATGCACACACATACACACACACACACACACACACACACACACACACACACACACACAGAGGGATAGATTGACCGCATTTGGCAAAATAAATTGCCAGGTGAAATATTTTATGCTCAAGAAACCCTTTCTTCGGGGCACAGCACCACTTCTGATGTATCTCAGTGTTGTTTTTAGTTCTCCTTTCTCCTTCCCAGAATAGCTACCAGGCAGAAGAAAGCCTTTATCCTCAGCCTTGTTCACCCACCCACAAGCTTTCGAGAGTACCTTGGGCTAGAAGTCCTCCAGTCAGTGAGTCAGCATTGGCCTTTATTCAGGATCTTGACCAATGAAGATATGCTCTTTCGTTAATTATAATGTTTTTCACTGAAGAAGTTCTAATTATTTCACCTGTTTTTACATCTTATTCTTTCTTTTTTTGTGTGTAATATTCATTGAGTGTCTATCACATACCTGGCACTGTGTTAACTACTTTTCATATGTTATCTGACTATGCAAAAATCAACAGTCAAGAGTTTATTAGAGGGACTTGCCTGGTGGTGCAGTGGTTAAGAATCTGCCTGCTAATGCAGGGGACACAGGTTCGAGCCCTGGCCCGGGAAGATCCCACATGCTGCGGAGCAACTAAGCCCGTGTGCCACAACTACTGAGCCTGCACTCTAGAGCCCACGAGCCACAACTACTGAGCCCACGCACCACAACTACTGAAGCCTGTGCGCTCTAGGGCCCATGCTCCACAACAAGAGAAGCCACTGCAATGAGAAGCCCGCACACTGCAAGGAAGACTAACCCCCGCTCACCGCAACTAGAGAAAGCCTGCACACAGCAACGAAGACCCAACGCAGCCAAAAAATAAATAAAAAAGTTTATTAGAAAATTATTTATTGAATATCTATACTGTGAGAGGCATCATATTAAACACTGGCATGCTGTACAAAAATATAAATAAAAATAAAAGGCATAGTGCAGTTGCCCAGGTGCCACTTGCAGGCCAGCAGCGAAAGAAATAGAACATAAACACATGAAACAAGTGAAGAAAGTGGAATAACACAATAAATGGACAAACTCAAAGTGACATTACAGATAACTCATAGTGCCCAAGTGACCCAAGTAAAGCAGAAACCTGTTAGAGTTCAAACACTTCATTTTCTAAGAATCCTTTGGGGACCTCATGCAAATGATAGAAAGTGTCTAGAAAAAAAACCTACTATGCTTCATTTCCCCCAAAACTGAATAAGAGAGTGTGCTGTGAATACTATAATTTTTTTTATAAACTGTATTCAGTAGCCAAAGCTGATGTGTAGTGCAACTCTAAAACAGATCTATAGCTTGGGTAAATTTGTTTTCATCCCCTCCTCTACCTCCTAGGCCCCCCAGGTGACTTTTTGCTGGCATGCTACTCAGTCACCAGTCAAGCCCCAGAATACTACACGTTAGTCCCAGTGAGGCATCTCTCCCAGGCAGTTAACATGCATGAACACTGCCTGGCAAACATGTCTGCATCCAGAGCAATGACTCAGAAATGAGACATACAAGTTGAAGACAGGAAGTGTCCTAAGCTCTTGATTTTTATTCATTCGGACCTTATCAGATAAGAAACAAAGACCCACGGCATACTGTTCTTTGAGTGACAATTCACATTCGAGTATTTTTCAACAGCATCTTTTGTCTGAGAAGGTTGGGCAGTAGATGGACAGTCTCCTCAGATCCAGGAGTATCCACTAGCAACCTTGGTAATCATTTTCTTCCATTACCGATTTCCTGTTTGAGTTAAGACACCCCTGTCACTCACCAGTACCCAAGCTTGTAGTTGCTAATTGATTTTCTACTCTTCTGCACAACTGAACAACAGATTTTATGGACACAATTAGAACCACCTGCTACAAATTAGGTCCTTCTTTTGTTATGGGGCAACTGCTCCTGGCCTAGGACTTTTAACACTTTGTGGAAGAGAGAGGGGAAGAAAAACAAACCCTTATTGCCAAATAACAGAATTTTATTTGCTTGCTGTTAGAAAATTTTGTTAGGCCTGGCCACCTGCTTTCAGACAGAGCAGGAATGCAAAACTTGAGTTC